CCCTACATTTTCTGGATCTCCTTCCTTCGTTCAACTATTAACACCTACTCTCTAGCAACCACCAGGTATACCAAAAACGGTAAGACAGAGCTTCTGACTCAAGGCACTTAAGAGTGTAGTGAAGGAGTCGGAGGCACCGGCAAGTGATTACAGTACAATTGGATACATGCTACAATAAAGGTTTGAACAAAGCCTTGGCAGACACAGGGAAGGCCTCTAGCCAAGTGAAGCTTTCTCTGAACTTAATGAGCTGCTCCTCTCCTGCTCTCCTCCACACTGAAGACTTCACCTGCCCATCTAGAATTCTTCATTCACAGAAAATGTTTTCTTCATTTGTACGGACATAAAGACTTCAAGGCAAATCCATAAATCATTTCTAATTGACCCCAAAAGACATTAGATCCGCTGAGAAGCGGATTTTTCCTTGCTGTTAGTCCTTTAAAAGCAGATCAACTTTCTTAATCACTTTTTAAGGCCAAGACAGAACCTAATTCACACTCTTTGAGCATGCCAGCTCAAAGGATGGAGGATACCCTGGAAAACCTCAGGGTAAGCTGGGGAAATGTGCCTAAAAATTTAAGTGGCCAACACAAAGATAATCACATACGTATGCATGCAAGGCAAAGCTGGTATAAAAGTATTAGAGCTTTTTTCTTTTTTTGCCTAATTACACTAAATCAACAAGTGTGTTTTTTTTAATCACTGCTACTTAAACTAAACATTCTCAATTCAAATAGAAAAAATTTAAAACCAATTCCCCCCCAAAAAAAAAATCTTGTGGCAAGTACAAAGATAGTAATTATCAAATACAGTGTACACAAGAAGGGAAAAACTGGAATTTTATATCCTAAAAGATCCAAATTTCTGCCAAGATCTGCGTAACAAGTTCATCTCATAACAATGGGCAAGACTTTTTAGTATATAATTACCAGCAACTAATATAAATATAAACAATACTTAGGAACAGCACCTGGAATGTCTGTTCAGTGGTGTCCAACACTGCGAAGTATGTAATAAAGCCTTTTACAATGCATTTCTTTGCCTCCATTTTTATGAAACCATAAGATAGTAGGTTGTACATTAGATCATCAGATAGAATAATGCAAATCAGAAGAGTGTCTATGTGTTTCTAAATTCCTTTTCTTTGAATATGTTCACTTTCCACAAAAATTAGAATTTAAGATGCCATTTTCCTAAGTGCTTCCAGGACTTTAAACATTACATTCTCTAACACACCTCCAAAAAGAGAGAGTGGGATTCTTTATATATAGGACTAGTATCCTATCTATTCCTATCTTTAGGGCATATGAAAAGGAAATTAAAATATATCTTAAATACTTTCATTTTCTTGCAAATAAAATGATCAATGAACTAGTTAGGATTACACACTTGTTCTACATTTTATTCCCAAACATAAAATAATTGCTAATGGTCATGAATGAAGAGTAATGGAAAACAAACTCCAAGACCGCCCCTAGCTCCCTGGTGGTCTAACGGTTAGGATCCCACCCAATCTCAAAACCCCCTAGAAGTATAGATTACAGTCAGCTATGTCAGCATTAGTGCTTTTCAAAGATTTTTTTTAAATGTTGTTTTATGTGACACTGAAACGCCATAAAACTAAGCTGATAATGACCTTTCAAACCCAGCAAGTAAACCTTGTAGTAAAATATTTTTAAATACCAAAGACACATCTTTATTTCCAAATGAATTTAAATTTTACAGATCCTGTGTGACAAACAAAGGAAGTTTAACTTAACTGTGGACAGCACACATTCGATTTCTTAGGCAACAAACATTTCTGCAGCCAGCCTTTTCTGACTCAACAAAGCTATTGTTCACGGAAAACAAGACCAATTAATGAGAATTTGCTAACCATACCACCTAAACACACGTTTGTCATAAACATTTTCTTGTGATCGACTCTACCATCTCATCCTCATTCATCCCCTAGGGATTTGGGGAATAATCGCTTACTAAATGACAGCTGATTTCGTTAGCACCTGTCGCCAGTCTCAGCTGTATCACACAAGTTGGCCGAAACAGCCTGTAATTTTTTTTTAAGATTATGATTCTTGAGAAAGTGAGGACTCACCAGGCGTGAGTTCACCAAGTTTTCCAAAATATCGTGCTTCTCATTCCTCCCATTTTTCAAAAAGTGACCCTGTGGCACCGACTTTTGGGTGGGCGGGGGGGAGGGGTGCCACAATGACGCGGGAACTCGACGGAAAGCCCTCCGAAACGAACAAAACCGGGAAGGGGGAGAACAGCGAGACCCTTCCCTCAAACTTAACAGAAAGCCCGCCGAGAAGGCGAAGGCTGCCGGGACCGCCTGGTCCGAGCGGGTGGAGACGAAGAGCTCCGGGGCTGCTTTCCGGGCAAATGTCAGACGCGCGGCCGCTCGGAGTCCAGTCTCCGCGCGCCGTCCCGGCCCCCGCGGCCCCGGCCGAGCCTGCGCCCTCACGGGGAGGGGGCGTGGAGCCGAGCCCGCCCGCTGCACCGCGGCCGCCGCTCCCCACGCCACTCTCCCGCCCGCTGTCAGGCCCCGGTGTCACTGCCCCTTCCTCGCGCCGAGCTCCCCCGAGACACAGTCCGTCCTTTGTCTGAGTGCGCACTCGGCGCCGAGGTCCCACCAACTTGTGTGCGTCCCGTCCCACCCGGGCGCTCCCGCCGCGGCGCTCCACACAAAGGAGACCGGGTCTCGGGCGGCCGGCCCGCCCCGGGCACCGGAGCGCCCCCAGCCCAGCCCCAGCGCCTCCGGAGGGGCGGGCGCGCGAGAGGACCCCTTCGCTTGCCCCCCGCGGCGCCCGCCCGGGCTCCCGCCTCGGGTCGCCGGGTCCGGCACTGCCCGCCCGTGGCGGTCCCGCAGGCCGGCCCGGACCCACGGCCCCTTCAGAGGGGTCTCCTCTCACCCCGCCAGCCAAAGCGGCACCCCGGGAGAGCCCGCTCCGGGCGATACCCGGACAGGCAGAGCGACGACGGGGATGTCCCACCACCGCCGCCGCCGCCGCCCCTCGCCGGGCTCCAGAGCCCCGCCAGCCGGCCAGCCCGACAGCGGCGCGTTACCTGCGCCCCGCGCCCCAGCCCGCGCCGCTCCCGCGCGCCGCTCCCGCGCGCCGCCGCCGCCGCCGCCGCCGCCGCCGCCGGGGCTCCACCGCCTTCTGCGTCCCAGTGGGTGTCGGACGCTCCCGGACCGAGCGCCAAACCCGGCAGCCCAATCGCCATCGCTTTTATTTGGCCCCCCCTGTCCAACCAAGCGCCGCCCCGATTGGCGGGACGCGAGGCGGGCTCTCATCCAATCACAGGGCCCGCCGGGCTCTAAGGCGCAGAGCCAGCCCCACGCCGAGGCGCCCGCGGGACTCGGCCGGGCCGGGCTGGCGGCGCGTGCGCGCCGGCGGGCGGGCGCTGAGGGACGCCGCCGCCGGTGGAAGCGCTGCGCCGGCTCTTTGTTCTTTCGCGGAACGCACGGCGCCTTTCAGGAAGGCGGTGGGCCGGCGCGCGAGGACGAAGGGCCTCTGGACCCCGAATCCCGGGCCGCGGGCGGGAGGCGGACAGGGCGGGGTGGCGGGAACCGGCCGGAGGGTGGGACGGCGCGCTCGCGGCTCTTGGCGGGAACCGCCGCTTCAGAGTTCCCGGGCCGGAGGGGCGGGGCGGGGCGGAGCCGAAAGCCAAGTTTGAACCAGTTCAAAACTCGGGGGTGGTAACGGTTTCAACCGCTGCACTCTTTTCCCCGCGCGCGGAGCCGAGGCCCGGGACGGCCGGCGAGCGCGCGGGAGGCGCCCGGACAGGAGGGCCCGCGGTGCCCCGTTTGCCGGCCAGATGCGCTCTGGGGCCCCGGCTCCAGCCTGGCTGGTCTCGGGCGAGGAGCCGCGAGACTCCTGCGCTCCAGTGTGGCCAGCGTGCCGCCCCCCGAGCCGAGCGGAGCGCTCTGCCCGCTACTTTTGTCTGCTGCCGCCCCTCGGCCGCTTGGCCCGCCTCGGATTCCCGGCCCGCTGGACTTTGGCTGGTCGAGCCCGCAGTGCCCTTGCCTTAGAAACCTGGCACAGAGCAGCGTCACAGTTATTTGAGATTCCTCATTTAGAGCGCCTTGATCAGACTCTTCCAGTGCTTGTAGTGCCAAGCACGTGTCAACAAAAATCATTTATCAAGGATGAGTGCCGTTCACTTGCCTCGTGCTAACGCCTCTGGAAAGTATTAGGATGATTGCAACATTTTTCAAGTATTAAAAAAAAAATGATCTTTGGGGTAAGCCTGTTTCAACCCAGAGGAATTAGGAATATTCTACTTCAGATACAGTCTCCACTTTTGATTTTTCTGGCAATGAAGTTAAGGTTATTACGAATTTTTTTTTTAATAGGATGCAGCTATAGGGCAAAGTAACCACTCACCCATATAAACTGGGATTCCATACTGAGAGTTCAGATGCGGTGCGGGGAGGATGGTCAACTATGAGCTGAAGTTAAAAGCCTAACGGAATCATGTTTTTAATATTTTTAGTTACATTTTTAAATGATTAAGATTTTTAATGACTAGTTCCTCATGTGGTGATTTAACCCTTAGTTCTACCAGCTTTCCTAAATCACCGTCCCATTCCTCACGTATATTCTGGACCAACTCAATGTTAAAAGTTTAGGTGGAGGGAAACCAAAAGATACAGAGAAAATACAATCATGTGCCTAAATAAAAGCAGAGTTATGAATAAATGATAAGAATAGTGCAAAAGTAAGTAGGTTATGCATGAGATGTAACTATAAACTAATGTAACAATTCCATCTGTCATATACCAACAGTCACCAATACATTCGAGGTCCATGGTAAAAGGCTTCCCTGTAGACCATTAATTTACAATTATTTTTATTTATTTATTTTTTTTTTGCGGTACGCGGGCCTCTCCTCGTTGTGGAGCACAGGCTCCGGACACGCAGGCTCAGCGGCTATGGCTCGTGGACTCAGCCGCTCTGCGGCATGTGGGATCCTCCCAGACCGGGGCACGAACCCGCGTCCCCTGCATCGGCAGGCGGACTCTCAACCACTGCACCACCAGGGAAACCCTACAATTACTTTTTAAACCATCCATTTAAATCTCAAAAGTTAACTTCATCCCTAAGTCACTTATCAAATTACCGATTTTGCTTGTCCTTTATATTAAATATTAAAACAATGTGGGCATTTTTAAAAGAAAGATCAAGGAAATTACATTAGAGATTATCAGCAAATCCAAGCAATATATAAACACATCCAGCATAGTGTGAAATGCCATATAAATTGTAAGGCATTTAGAACCAAGGAATGATGTTGGATCAAGATGTTCCCCAAAAAACTCAGAAAAGGAAATTTTAGCTGGACCCTAAAGAAACCATAACATTTAGATTGATGGGGCAGTGAGGGCACTTGAGATGGGAATGAACAGGTACTCCCAGTGATTATGTGGAATCTAACTAGAGCTGAGAGCACCAGTTGTGAAAGAGTGAGAGCGGATTAGAAAGCCAATATTGTAATATTTATATTTACAATACACATTTATGTTAAATATAATATGAAGGCTGACTTGGAGCAGGAAGTAGGGGTGCCAGTGGATCACAACATTGTCTTAATTCAGGGGTAACATCCAGTTAAGCAAGATGTTTTAGGTCACAGTGATGGCAAGAAAAAAGGCTAAATTGAAAACATTGCCAAAAGACTTCATTGTATATGGAGGGCATACATTATCTTGCAACTCAATTTTGTATATTCACAAATACAGGAAAGTTGGGAGAGAGAAGAATTATTTCATTTTAGATACGAAGAAAAATTATCTGAAGATTTCCAAGCAGGGAAAGCAAGAAAATGTGTGTGTGTGTGTGTGAACCCCAAATTACTGAAGGGACCCAGATGAAGTAGAAAGCCATGCTGAACACAAAGGTAGATGTGAAGGGTGAGAGTCACCAGTAGTAGTTATGCTACTACTAGTAGGTCATCCTGTCCTCTGTTAAAGACAGATTTACTATTAACAGTTACGGGATAAAACCAAAAGTGGGGAGTTAAACTCCGAAGTCAGGACAAAGCTCTACCTTAGTCACTGCTGTTCTCCCAGGGCCTACCACTGCCTGCACACAGTGTATCATCAGGGTTTTCCAGGGGGGACAGGAGAAGGTCAAGGGCAAAATTAAGGCTGTTAGCATCACAGAACTCCCCTTTCAACCCCCTGCACGGGATTTACTTCTCACACATTCATTTATTCACTCAGCATTCAACAAGTATTACGGAGGGCTTACTATGTGAAAGCACTGTTCTAGGGTCTAGGAATACAAAGAGAACAAAAGAAAAGTCCCTGCCTTGGTGGAGCTGATAGTCTAGTGGAGAGAAACAAACAATAAACAAATTATACAGCAGATGAGTGATAGTAAATAAAACGGGGAAACACATAGCATGGAAGGAGGGAAGCGTTGAGTGTAAATGCTGCAATTTTAAAATAGCTTACGGAAGGCCACACTGAGAAGGTGACATGTGAAGGAAAACTTGGAGGTGAAGGAGCACCTCCCGAGAAAGATGTTCAAAGAGGAGGGGATGGCAAGTGTCTGGGCCTGAGGTGGGAGCCTGCCTGGTGCTCTAGGGGGAGGGGGAGACTGGTGGGAGGTGAGGGGGCACAGGCAGATCTTCCTGCACCTTGCGGGCCGTTGTTAGGACTTGACTTTTTACTTCAGTGAGAGGATTTGGAGCAGAAAGGTGATTGGATGATTTAAACGAGAGCACTCTGGCTGCTGTGTTGAGAGTAGCCTGAAGTGGAGCAAGGGCCAAATCAGAGAGCAGTTAGGGGTCTATCGTAATAACCCAAGCAAGAAATGACTGTGACTGGGAAGCTAAGTGGTAACAGTGGAGCTGGCAGGTTGTAGTTAGATCCTGGGTGTGTCTTGCAGGTACAGGCAGTAGGAGCGGGATAGGGATATGGGGGTGGAGGTTTGGAGGTCAGAGTTTAGTTTGGGACACAGTAAGTTTAAGATGCCTGTTTTCAACCAAGTCGAGCTATCAAGAGGTTGGTAAGTTATTGATGGGAGGAAAACGTGTCCTCTACCAATTTAGGACCTAGTTATCAGTGCCAGCAAATTAATTCACAGCAGAGTAACAGGATAAACTTTATTTTATTATGCCTGCAGGAGTACTTCTAAAGAGAGAGTAGCTCCCCAAACAGCAAGAGGTCAATGTTTATAATCCAGCTTAATAAAGGGCGGGGGAACAGGGGAGGTTTAAGCCTTCCAAGGATGGAACATTCTGATGAGGCTTGTTTAAATGACTTTTTTTTTTCTTCTGGAATGTCCCAGTGCCTGAGGTAGGTCACCTCCCTGGCAGGAGACTTGCTGGGGAGGGCAGGTAGCTGACTCTGTGAAGCTCTCACTTTAGTCAGATAAGGGGAGTCCAATAAGTTCTTTCAGCATCTGTTAGAGCTGAGATGTTCACACTTTGGGGTCATCTTTATACCATTTGTGTTATAAAAAAAATTCGTTATAGGAGTCTGGACTTAGGGGAGAGGTTGTGACTAGGAATGTAAGTTTGGGAATCATCAGCATATAAATGGTGGTTAAAACCAAGGGAATAGGGATAGACAGAAAAGAAGTTGAAGGTACTCTACCGTGACCTTTGTGGCAATGAGGAGAAACCAATAAAGACAGAGAGGATGACCAGCCAGGTGGGAAAGTGTGGCATCCTGGGAGCCAAGGGAAGGAAATGTTTCAAAGAGGAGAGTAATCGTTGCACAATAAGTAAGATGTCCAAGACTTAACCCTCAGATTTAACAACATGGAGAGCATTGGTGACCTTGATAGCACACTTTCAGTAGACTGGTTGGAGTGGATTTCGTAGTGAATGAAGATTGGAGATAGCAATTGTAGCCAACTCTCTCAAGAGTTTTACTACAGAAGGAGAGAAAATATAGCTGGAACAGTAAGTGGGATCGAGAGAAAGATCTTAAGATCTTTAAGAGAAATAACATACCACATTGGTATTCTGATGAAAGATCTAGTGGAGATGGGAAAACTGGTGATTCAGGAAAGAAAGCATATTGCTGGAGCAACATCTGGTGTGTTAGGAGGCATGGACTCCAGACCCTGAACAGGTGAAAAGAGATGGGTCCTGGAGCCTGTCAGCACCCTAGCAAAGATTGACCTTTGCTAGTTAATGGCCAGGAGAGAAGGTAGACTACCTGGACACAAATGCAGGTACATGGGTAGATTTGGTAGGTGTTTACATCTGATTGCAACAGACACCCATTGGTAATTACCTGACTGAGAATGGGTAGTGTGTAAATGAGTATGCAGTTTGTTAGGGCAAAAAAATGTTTAGACCATTATATTCCAGCATCACATTTTTATCAACTCTCCCTTTTTGGTCTTAAAATAATTTCTCAGTCCTAATGAGATAGAAAACTGATAATTTGGGTTTTAGACATAGAGAATACAGAGCAAAAGCAAAACATCTAAAAGTTTTGGAAGACAAATGAAGAGCTATAGTATATAAAATTTGGCTAACAGGTTTGAGCTTGTAAACAGAGGAGTAGCAACTGAAGGCCCGAGAAGGGATGAACTCTTGTAAAGAACGAGAGCAGCCTTATACTGCAGGCTGGAAAACACCCAGGGCTGGGGCCAGAAAACGTGTGGCATGTAGAGAAAGCTTAATTAAAAATTATAGCATAGGGCTTCCCTGGTGGCGCAGTGGTTGAGAGTCCGCCTGC